ATTTAGGTAATGGGCACAGGGGGCAGGTGGGAGTGCTAGTGCTCCCCACCTGCAAGTGCTGGCTGATTTGCTGCAGCCACTCCCGGAAGCGGCTGCAGTGATTGGCCATCACGGGATCGGTGACCTCCCCCCCCAGTTGATGGGACTGGTCACAGGGGGGACATGTGCCCCCCCTAACTAAGGCAGCACTAGTCACCCATGTGTCTGAGACTCAAAAGCAGTTCTTCAGCATCTTGCAAATGTAATTCTCTTTCTCATAAGGGAGTGCATGTTGATATACCCCGAGTCAGAGACAGGCATGAGGATAGTTTTTCTTTTCTGTTTGTAATAAGAAAGGATACAAGAATATACTGATGAGTATGGACCCAGTCCAGTTCTGCATAAGCAGTAGTCTATAGTGTAGGTTTTGGTGCAAGTAAAAAGTTTGGGATTAAACCTTTTGTAAACTGGTGCAGCTGGAGCACTTGGCCTTTTGGAGACTGAGATATTCTGAAGATGTTTTGAAAATTTCAGTAAACTGAAAAATGTGTTGCAAAGCAAAAGTCTGGGAAACGCCATAATATCATACCCCTATGTAATGCTACAGGCAGGTACACACTTGGGAGTGTGTGCTGGAACACAATACAAACAAATACATAACAGCAAAGATCCTTATTTAAAGACGTTGGAGACAGATTGTGAAGAGCAGATGAGAAACAAATGAAAGGAAGAGTCTAGATACAGGTTCCTCAAAGTTTGCTGGTCAGGTTTGGCATAATTATACAAGAAATATGCACGTTGCAGCAAGCTGTTTGCTTTGTGTCTGTACACTGAGAGCAGTAGGGTGAATGCTGAGACTCCCTTGGTAAGTTACTATCATAATTACAGTTGTGAGTTATTGCATGCAGCGGGCTTGTTTCAGGCTGCCTGGATATTGCTCTGACTCCCTCCTTCTCCCAGTCCATTCTATTTGTCATCCCATCTGCCCTTACCATGATTTGTATTGCTTGGTCCTGTGAAGCAAGTGGGAAGGGCCAGGGGCAGGTTTCCTTTTTCTTTTTGCACCAAGGTTTAGGGAATGCACTGAAATTTAGTGGAAACAAAAAGGCTATTTGTTTTCTCTTTGCATTAGGAGATCATGGGAAACCAGGCATTTTTTCAAAAGCAGGGCCTCCTAGTCGGAACACATTTAGAGCAGGCACAACAACCTGCTCTTTTCAATTAGCAATGAGCCCAGAGAGAGTTCACATAATTAGCAAGTTTACATAATCTGCCTTTGAGTTGGTCCTCAGCAGAGCTGATAACATAAAGAAAAATTAAAAGGCACTCTAAGGTAAGGCTTTCTTTCTTGTGTCACTAAGTGAGCAGTCGGTACTGTGATGTATATGGTTAATCGCAGCCTCTTTTCCCATTCTTCTCCTAAGTCTTGGAGACAATAAATGGCTTCAATTTTGTAAAAACCACACATTTCGTTTGTGTCTGGCTCAGTGCTTCAGAAGCTGAGGATTACAATAGGAGACAGGAGGCATGATACCGCTCCTGTCTTGAGAAACGCTTGACAGGCAGCTTAGGGTGACTAGGTATACTGCTGTTCTACCTTTGGCAACCACTGTAAAGGGATTCTTAAATCCTATCCTAGGTCTCTGAAGTGGAGAAACAGCTTGCACTCGGTTGCAGTGTATTTTTCTATCTAACAAGCAAATGCATCCATATGCTTTTTTTCCTTTCTTTCTTCCTTTTGCTTGTAAATCTCCATTTTAACTAAATTTCTCGTTGGCCCGTTGCTCACATGATCACAAAGTTGCAGGAACTTGTATTTTTATGGAGTTTGGGGGGGAAAAAGTTTCCTTTGGTATCATCATTTGAAAAAATGTCCCAAAAGTGTTGCTCTTTTTAGAAGGCCTGTGTTAGGGTATTTTGTACAGAGCGCGGTACACCTGGGAACTCAAGTGAATAAAGTGGTTCAAAGAAGTAGGCTGGAATCAAATCCAGGCACATCAGAATAATTACCTGCACAAAATACAGACTGGGGAATGACTGGCTGAGCTGCAGTGCTGCAGAGGAGGACCTGATGGTTACAGTAGACCATAAGCTGCGAGACAAAAATGTGAGACAAAAATGGTGAACAGCATACTGGGCTGCGTTAACGAGAGTGGTGCTTACAGATCAAGGGAAGCGATTCTTCTGCTCTGTTCAGCACTGGTGAGGTCTCGCCTGGAGCACTGTGTCCAGTTTGGGTGCTGCACTTCAAGGAGGATATGGACAGCCGGGAAGGAGTCCAGTGCAGAACGTCAGAAGTGATTAGGGGCTTGGGAAGTAACATTTAATGAGGAAAGGTTGAAAGAACTAGGTTTGTTTAGTCTGCAGAAGACTGGGGGGTGAGGGGGGAGGGCTTTGAGTCTTCAAATACCTGAAGGCAATTAGAGAGGGGCTGGAGATGGGCCTTCCTCTGTGGCCCCGGGGGACAGGACTAGGAGCAATGGCTTCAAGCTACAGCAAGGGAAATTTAGGTTGGAGATGAGGAGGAACTTTCTGATGATGAGGGGTGGTCAAGGCTGCCCATCGAAGTTGTGGAATCCCCATCTTTGGAAGTTTTCAGGAGCAAATCGGACAGACAGGTGGCTGGGATGTTTGTCGGGGTGGGGGAGGCGGAGGGGATCCTGTTTTAAGCTGGGGGCTAAAGTAGATGACATAAAAAATTAGGGTTGGAAGGGACCACAGGAGGTCATCTAGACCTCCTGCTCGGAGCAGGACCATCCCCAACTATCTCATCCCAGGCAAGGCTTTGTCTAGCTGGGTCTTAAAAACCTCTGAGGATGGAGATTGCACCACCTCTCTGGGTCACCTGTTCCAGTGCCTCACCACCCTCCTAGTGAGTGAGAGGTTTTTTCCCTCAGGTCTAACCTTAACTTCCCTTCCTGCAACTTGAGCCTGTTGCTCCTTGTTCTGTCATCTGCCACCACTGAGAACAGCCCAGCTCCATCCTCAGGCAGTTGAAGGCTGCTATTAAATCCCCTCTGTCTTCTCTTCTCCAGACTAAATAAGCCCAGTTCCCTCAGCCTCTCCTCACAAGTCATGTCCCCCAGTCCCCAAATCATTTTCATGGTCCTCTGCTGCACTTCCAGTTTGTCCCCATCGTTTCTGTAGGGGGGCCCACAACTGGACACAGGACTCGCAAAGTCCTTTCCAGCTCTGCGTTCCTATGGTGAGAGATGCTGACATCTAGTCAGCGGCTTCACACAGGCAGCGTGCTGATCAGCCAGAGAGCGCTGGATTTCCTTAAGGGGAGTTCTGTTAAGAAATGTAAAAATCTACATTGTAATTAATACTTCATTCATTTTCAGGCCACTGGTGTTAAATCATTACATGCAATGATACAGGACTTGTTACTTGATACTATTTAAGAAATGGGGAAATAATTAACTAATTTTGAGCTGCATCAAATAAGGAAACGGAAGAGTGAATTTCCTACAAGTGTAGACTTTCAAAATGACAAATAAGACATTTAAACTTTTTATCTTTATTTCACAGTGAAAATATTGGTAGCTGCCACCATTTCTATTTATCTGACCAATTTCCCTGCTGTGCCTCTTCTATCTTTACAGCAGGCTTACTAATTACATTTAAGAAGCCTTGCCAATTACTGCTTCCCTCAATGATTAATTTAAGCTAATTCACAGATGTGTAAGTCTTTTTTTTTTTCTGTTTTTTCAGACTTTCCTTAGAAATAGAAATACTTATTCAATTCAAATGTTTATCTCCAGGTGGCCCCTAGAAGGATGGTAGGTAAAGAGCAGCTGACCAATAACAACAATGATAACAATGAGTAACCATGAGACCCTTTATACAATTCTAGCCAAAGCTTGTTCTAATGGTTTGCAGTGGGTTTGTTGCAGGTTAAGTTTCTGAAAGTGCAAAGCTCTCTGCTAGCCCAGCTCCTACGAAGTTAACAGGTAGCAGGGAAATTGTCCCAATATTTTTATTGCAAGTTGAGTCTTTCTGCTGAAGCTGATGGTAAAATCCCTGTTGATTTCCAGATGAGTAGTATTGATATCTGGTCGACGTTCTTCATTGTGGATGGAGCCAGTTCATACCCCTGCTCCGAGTTAAGGGCTCTCAAGTGAAAGAAGCCCAGGAGGGTATTGGAAGACTGTGCCAGGAGTGTGAATTCACACCTGGAGTGAACCCGTCCTGGTGTAGCTTTTGTGCCTGTCCACAATTACAAAATTGTAATAAGCCTGTTTTCTTCCCCTGTTTGCCTTTGACTTGAGCAGAGACTTTGGCCTGTAACTTGCTGGCTTATCTGTAGAGGGAGAGGTGATTTTTTTTTTTTTTTTTTTTTTTTTTTTTGCAAAGGGAATTATATTATTGAAGGCATGGGAATAATCAAAACCTGCCTCTGTCTGTGGAACATGTGGCTGAATCGGATAGCTACATTTAAGATTAATCTCTTTTTCTCTCTTACTGCTAGAAAAATGCCCATTTATTCCTGCTTAAATTTAAAGGTAAATGTGTCATTCATTAAGAGTTTTAATGCTGTGATGGATTACAATAAATATTATAATCAAGAGTATAGTTAGTTTTCCATTTTGTTCAGCTAACTTCCATTCAGAAAATAGTTGTATATTTTGTTTTGGGGTTTTTTGTCCCTTGGAATTCAGCAATTTGTGTTTGAGCAGTCGTCTTCACAGCAAGGGGGCTTAGCCCTCATGCTTAATAATGCTCTTTGGTACCCAAGGAAGGTTGTTAAACTTCTTAACGCAGATGGTGATATAGTGTGAAACAAAGTACATCGATACTAAACATCTGAATGCTGCCTAATGAGAGACCTTTCAAATTGCTTAAGTTGGGGTATGCAAAGAGACAGGTCTGGTGAATAGGAATTATAATATGTCTGGGGCTGGGAAGAAGGAATATGGGGACTGAATATGTGATAATGTCACAGAGACAACGACAGCAAACTAGATGATAAAAGAAGCAACAGCAGCAATGGTTGCACTAATTTATTCATTGTTCTACAGGTTCGAAACTTTTGAGGTGAATAGTTTTGAACAATTTTGTATCAACTATGCCAATGAAAAGCTCCAGCAGCAGTTCAACTTGGTAAGACCCATCTGGAAATTTTGCATAAGATTTAATGGAAAACTGTAGGCAACAGGCAGTCATCAAAGACATATTTTTGTGTACCAGACTTTCACTTAATCTTGCCTCCACTGAGATGAGATTACACAGTTGGTATACATGTTCCTAATTATAGCATAGTTGTCCATAGGTAGTAATCCTGTATTAGAGTTGTACCAAATATTCATCATGAGAGAGGTAAATTTTGTTTGAGTTTTGGCTTTGTTATAAATCTGAAACTCTGAGTTTTATAAATAGCTTTATGCTAATTTAGGCCTTATAATATTTCTTAGGTGCATGGAAATAGTTGGAAAAATGCATTATTTACAGTTTCAACCCCCGGTGAAATGAGGTTCAGAACTTGTGCTGAATCTGGCTTTTAGGTTTTAAACAAAGGAGTGCAAGCTGACTGGTTAAGGCTTCCTTTAACTGGAGAACCGGAAGTGAGTCCCATATCCCAGTATCATTTAGGTTCTGGCACAGCACTTCCCCGAGATGTTAACATGTACATGGAGGGCTGTATATACTCGGAGTTAAACTTGAAAGCTACTGAAAAAAATGTTTGATTCTGCTTTCATTGAAGCTCATAGGGAATTTTTATGTTGATCTGATAAGCAGCAGAATTTGACTCTAATTTTGTTAAAGTGGATCTATAGGTATGGATAAACGTAAAGTGTTTAGCAGCTCCAAAAAAGGGAGCAGGAATCTGCTGCTGAGTGGGCAGCAGCTTTCTTTATACCTATTACATGTGCATAAGTCTAGTAAAACCACTCTGAGTTTAATTTGTGCTGCACCCATCGTCAAAGTTGAGGTGAAGTATCTGCCTTGTATCATGGTAGACACATTCACACACAACAGTTGGAGTGAAACAGCAGCTGTGTACACTAGTGCAGCTCCCCTTTTCATCTGAAGTTGTTGCACTCTACTCAAAACCTGTTTTCTTTGCATAGTGCTGCAAACTTGGAGTATCAGTGCAGTGTTTAAAAAATGCAGTTGAAGGTATGGATTAGTTTTGCACTATATAACTTGTTTAGTATGTACGATTGGTACTTCTGAAGCTAATACGTGTCAAATGAAGTGATGATTTAATTGAAGAGGTTTTTAAAAGTCAGCACGGAAGGGAAAAAAGTGCATCTGAAAAATCCCCTGTCCCCTAGGACTTAGAATAGATCAGAAACGTTTGCTTGAATTTTTAACTGCTTGTGAATAAATCTGAGAAATTTCTGCCAGTAGAAGAACTTTTTTTGCCAAAGGTCTCTGCAAAAATAGGGATCTTCAGAAGACATTTTAATTTATCAAAGCTCTGATGCTGATAACTCTTGGAAACTTGGCACTTTTTTTTGTGGACATGCCCTTCCAAACCATGATGATATGCATCAATACAAGAACTTAGTGAATTTCCAGTTCACTGTGTAGCTTTAGTACTGTACTATGGTCTTTAGTACTGCATCAGCTACACTGTTGCTGTGATGGGAATCTGTTGTATTCTCCCCAAGTGTGGTGAGAAACAACATGACTCAAGACACTGGTGTGGGTAAGTGTGTCACCATGTGGACACACATTGTGGACACATAAAGTAAAACTACAAATCAAGTATGAGCAAGAGAGTCAACAGCAAAGTTTAGACTTAATTTTTTGTAATTGCATTCAAATAGCTCATAGAATCCACTCCTCACATCTGAAGGAACCATTTGGGTAGCTTTCTAATTAGAGAATATTTCCACTTTAGATGTTATAATGTTTAACTTTAATATATTTACTCTGATTTTGGTATCTGCAGGTGGTGGTGTACTTGCAGGTACATTGTACGTCTTTCTACAGTCAAATTTATAGGGCTTTTTTACCATTTCTAAGAAATCTATATGCCCCTAATGGCTACAATAGGGTGGGGAAAATTAATTGATCTGTCACTTTCTTCAAGCAAATTAATTGCATATTACTGTCTTTCTGATCACAGCATGTATTTAAGCTGGAGCAAGAAGAGTACATGAAGGAACAAATCCCTTGGACTCTTATAGATTTTTATGACAACCAGCCCTGCATAGACCTTATAGAAGCTAAACTTGGTATCTTGGACCTGCTGGATGAAGAGTGTAAGGTAAAGAACAACTTCAGTGTAATCACTGGCATTTTTATCATTTCTAAACAGAAGTTAAAGAATAGACTATTCCCAGTATATCTGCCTGGTTCATATTCATTATCACCATCAGCTCCATCCAGGAGCACCCTCAAGGAATAGGTAGGGCCAAAATCAAGTACATTTTGCGGCTCTTGTTCAATTTATCTCCCATGCTAGGCCCTTGGGAAGGTGGCGCAGTCTGCAACATGTCCTGTAGTAACCTGACTGCTGTTTTCAGGTGCAGAACTCAAGAGGTGTAACTAGCCAGGTTTGCACTCTGGGTAGAGATGCCAGAGAGCAGGTGTGGAGACGTTGGTCTGACTTGTCCTGGTGACTGAAAGACCCATGCTGATGGTGTTGTGGTGTCCCTGCGCTTGTTAGTGGCTGACGCTACAGCTGCTGTCACTGCAACATAGGACAGGTGCTATCATGGCATAGACCTTCCCAGAGATCATCACTGTTCTGGTGCCCCCTATAAATTGGGACCTAAAGCTAACGCCCTGCTCTCACAGCCCTAGTTACACTAGTTGTAGAACTTGCAATGGTCATCCCATTCTTTGTGAGTGCAGGCAGCTTGCTTTGCTTCTCGCTACACTTTGAAGACCATAGAGATACCCATGTTGTTGAAGACTATTGCTATCAACTTCCTAAACTGGACAGACCAATGTTAGTACTTAATATCAGTGCTCACTTTTCAACCCCAGTTTCTACTTTGCAATGTGTGTAATTACAGGAATTTACAAGGATTTCACAAATAGCTCTTGTTATCTCCCTGCAGTTCATGGTTGTCAGACAAACATGCTGGTCTGAAGTGGGGAACCAAAGGTCCTGTCATATCAAAGAGACACTCTTTGGATTCAGTATTTAAACTCCATTGTCCCTGTTGGGAATTACTAAGAGGCATGGCCTGCATTTGATGGAGATTGATTTATTTAATTACTTGCTTTCTTGTGTGACACAGTGATTGACTTTGCCATTGAGAGGGAAGAAAGTCCAATACTTTGGGGGCTGGGAGCTGGAGGTGATGATATAGTCAACCAACAAAGGGTATATTTTATGTCTGAGATACTGGCAGCAAGGATTTCTGGTTATGAGATCAGTGGGTCAGACCTTTTGTTTTTTTTCATTTAAATGAATCTGTTTTATCAAGTCTTTAGTCATCACTGTGGCTTTCTTTAAAATAAGTTGTTTAACTGCATACTACAGTCTGAGATCATAAATGCCAGGTGTCATAAGATGGATTAGTTGAGAAGATGGTGGAAAAAACACATATGTATGTGGTGCAGCTCCTGCTTCAGTACCAAACCAGGCCTTTACATGCCATTTTTAATGGCATGGCCTTCATGAAGAGGGTTGGTTCCCATTGGAGGAAAAGTGTTAAGTTGTGGTAAAAGCATCATGAGGGCCCAAGCAGCATAAAACACTAGTGAGGCTGTGCCTAATGAAGATGTGGGTGTGTGGTGAGGCTGGTGATGGGGAGCAAGGTGACTTTTCCATTTTTAACATTCCTCTTAGCTTGTCTTCTTCCTGTCTGTTAGGGCTTCTGATTATAATGTATTTAAAAAAAAAAGAACAAATTAAATCTAATTTAATATCCTCAGAATAGTGTAATTTCAAATGTGAGCTCAGAAGGAGGTCATGAATCTTTCGATTTCTCGGTACCATTTTGTTTCACCCACTGCACTCTTTAGGGATTGAGCCAACATCTAATTACTGACGTACGGGGGAGAAAGAATGCTTCCTAGCTGGCCCCTGATTCCTCTTGCAAAATGTCTTGCTGATAGCCCTGAAGCATCTAGCATTGACTGCTGTTGGTGACTGGGGTCTGGGCTAGGGAGACCTCTGCTCCGACTCCGGCCGATAGCAAAATCCTGCTGCCTAGTGAGAACAGCTTTACCCTGCCGTTCTCTCTGCTTCTTGCCAAGTGCTGCTGTTTCATCCGTACCATCTTGCTGAAAAACTGAAACACCATGAATAATCCTTAGTACATTGATTGCTGATGTTGTTACAGTATGTCTCTGCGCTTTGGGGGCTGGAGTGATTAGTAGCAGTTGTAATGGACTCTTTTATAATAACGTGCATATGTTTCACAGCTTTAACATTTTCAGTGAGCGTGTCAAGTGCAAGCTCTGCTTTCTTGGTAAAAACCTCCTTACGCCCCCTCCTTGTCCCTGCCTTTATTTCTAGACTCTCCTCCACTCCTCCTTGCTGTTACAAAATAGCAAAGCCCTTTGTGTTCTGAAGCATCATGGGGAGAGAATTGCTTTGCTATAAGCTGCGGTTGGTATAAAGAACAATATGCCAATTGGCAAGTCAGTTCATTAATACATAGTACAGTTGTTAAATATACTCTGGGACTTGAAACTCCATCAAGGGGTCCTGGCAACATAATGAAATACCAGAGCAGAAATGGAGTTTTTTGTCACCAAAGTTCTTGTCTCGCAGCATGACTTTTTTTTTTTTTCCCCCTCTTCATTTTTAATATACAATTGATTATTTTTGTGAAGAATTTTTCCATACAAACTTTATCCTGAAGCAATTTAGTGAACTAAGTACATGTGGCTTTAAAGCTTAGCAATAATAGCTTCAGAGTTAAATGAAAAAGGGAGGAGTGATCAACAGAGGGTTGTATGTCATCAGTGAAAGAAATGGGATTTGAATCGAGGTAGGAGCTTAAAGGAAGGAACTTGAGCCCTTAAAAGCTCACTACAAAACTTTTGTAGCCCACTGGGAGTGTGTTTTTTAAATTGCTTTTGCATACTCTCATTGCTGGGACCTTGTCCGAGTTATGGCTGCTTCCCTCACCTGCTCCATGGATTGCAGAGCTGCCCAGAATCTCCACAGGGCTGTGGCAGAGGGGGAATTAAACATACCATAAAGAGCAGAATGAGATCAGTTGTGATCAGAGAAGGGGAAAAAGGGAATATGAGAGAACACCAGCCTTGTGATCTTTAGCAACAGCTGTAATAGTGATGGTGCCAACAGGTGGAGAAAAGAAAAGTGGTAAGAATTAGAGAAGTTGGGGAGGCCAAGGACAAAGTCTCCTGAAATGGCAGGAGAAGGAAGCAAGGAGGAAGTACTGGAACCATGGTCACAAAGGCTTGAAGAGAACAGGAAAAGATGGACGTGGATGGGACAGAGTGAGACAGTGGGGCATGAGTGACTATTTGGGCACTAGACTATGGACAGAAAGAGGCCTTTAGACATGGCAAGTGAGAGATTGGTGATGGGACATGTTAAAGACTTTCGGCACATGGTAGCAGTCAGAAGTTTGACTGGGTTTTCAGGAGGTTTTTAATTGTCTTTAAAAGAACCTCTGCGTATGTGGATATAGAGAAGCATTACTGCACCTCCCTCAAGGCTGAGTTCAGTTTTTCCCTCCTCAGCTAAGGGCTGACATTCAACAGTACTGAGCCTGAATTGATTCAATCTTTTCAGGTTAGTTTAACCTGCATAGATTGAACCGATGAACTGATTTGCAAGGGAATAGACATTCACTTTTGATTCCAGAAATGCAGCCACATGCATTTAGTGGCTTAGGCTAGAAGCCAGGGGGCACTAGAGCGAGCCCTTGGCTGCAGGGAAGCTGTGCGTGGGGGGTGGGGGGCATGTCCCCTGGCAAGCTATGATTTGGGGCGGGCTTAAATCCCCACCTTGGCCTGCAGGGACCCCAGAGGGGTGTGCCTGTCCCCTGCCAGGGGTCTCCATACCCCCCATCCCCACTTACTTGCTGCTCCAGGAGCAGGAGCGTGGCCATACCCTAGTAGCCTGAAGGGAATGGAGGGTTTAATCCCCACATTGACAGGAGCGGTGGCAGTGTGGGCACTAATAGGCTTTGCTCGTACATCTGTGGCTGCAGCGGCCAGATGCTGGTAGCCTGAGGGGAAGGGGGAATTGGCGCAAGCACTAACATGGTGCTGGCTCCGTCCCATGCTGAAAATACCCTCAGGCAGGGTCTGCACCTCGGCGCCCGATGCCAATGCAGGTCTGGCTGTGAGGAGGGGATGGGAGAGAGGGAATGTGACCTGGCTGCAGGTGCAGAGCAGGGGTGGGAGGGAGCCAGGGCTAATCATGGAGCCCGACTCATCACTGCCTCCTGCTGTGGCAGCGTGGCCTGGGCTGGGGTGGCCCTATGGGCAGGGGTCAGTGCCTGCCATCTCCTTCCTCTAGCCCCATGCGGGGGCTGCAGTTTGCAGGCAGACTGCAGCTGGAGTACAATTCCCTGCCCCCCTCCCTCTCCAGGCAGCAGTGGAGCAGATCATTGCAGTGGGCAGAGGTGAAGCACCTGTCACCCACTGTCTGTCTGCTCGCAGCAGGCCGCCAGGGGCATGGGCAGTGGCAGGGGTAAGCAATAGATTGCCGGTCTGGTCTGGTCCCATGGCTCAGGGACATAGGCAAGGATTGGCATGAATGCCGCGTGCTGACTGGTGATCGGCTGACCACCCGCAGATGCCATCGGTGGCAGCCAGTGGCAATTGGGGGCTGCCCACAGATGCTGCAGGCAGTGTCAGCAGCAGGGAGAAGGGGGCGGCAAGTGGTGTCCACCCGCAGGCGCTGCCAGCAGCATCAGCAGTGCTTTTCACAGGGGATGCACTGCCAACCTGTGTACACCCCGTACGTATCACCAATGACAACTGGCCCATGGCAGCCCTTTCCGAGTGCCCACTGAGCAGGTGGCGGGTGACAAGTGCCTCGCCTCCGCCCGCCATGATAGTTCGCTCTGCCACTGCTGCCACTGGGACAGAGAGTGGGGTGGAGAGCCATGCTTCATCTGTAGTCTGCCTGCAAACTGTGGCCCCCCCCCCATGGGGCTGAAGGCAGCAGGTGCTGACCCCCGCAGGAGGCAGCAGTGAGTTGTGCTGAGTGATTAGTCTTGGCTCCCCTCCATCTCCCCTCTGTGCCTGCAGCCAGGTCACATCTCCCTCCCGTTAGCCGGACCCATATCGGCATTGGGTGCTGCTTGCTGTTCTTCCAAGGGA